GGCAGCTCTGAGACCACAGGATTGGATCACCCATCCCTGCCATGCCAGAGGGGCTGAGCATGGGGGGGCTCCTCTGCTCTCCTGGGAAAGAACCTCTCCTCCCCATGTCCCCCCCTGCAGCTGAGCTCTGCCAGGCCTCAGCTGGCACGTGGGGATGGTGCTGGGCTGAGTGGCTGGCAGGAACCCGGGCAGCCTGGAAAAATCTGTCCTAATCCCTGAATCCAACACAGCAGAACATGGGGACCACGCAGAGCATCTGGAGCAGGGCAGAGCATCCCAAACAGGGCAGAGCATCCCAAACAGGGCAGCCTATGCACGTGTGCTCCATCAGTGAGCGCTGGGCAGGCAGAGACCGGTGGAGTCGGCCCAGGAGCTGCAGCAGGGTCACCTTTGGTATCGCAGCACTGCACAGTCCTCACTCTGCAAAGGGAGTGGTATCTCATTTCTTCCTCAATTAGCTCCTGATTATCAGTGTCCCAGGGCCCCTTTCCAGTCTCTGTTTAATGCACCATTAATAATTCATTTCTCAGATAGCAAGAACGCAGTGCGAGGTTGGGGCTTTGTGACTAATAAGAACCAGAGCAACCCTCATCTCCAAGGGACAAATGAAGGGAACAAAAATAAAGAGAAAGAATCAAAGATAATATGTTTTGTGGCCTTTAATCAAACACTGGATAAAGGGTTTAATTACTCAAGAGAAGAACACATAGGCACACTCCTCCTTAGCAGCCACAGGCTGCTGTGCTCCCACCAGGGGAAACTGAGGCACCCTGGACATTCCCTTAGAAGCCCAGAACATCCCAGCCCCTCAGTGGGGACTTTAGGGTCACAGCAGTGTCTGGGGATGTCTCTGCAGTGGGTTGAGGCGATGGGCAGGTCAGGACAAGGCTTTCCTGGCCAGGCAGAGCAGCCCCGAGGGGCAGGAGAAGGGCTGAGCCAGCGCCGGCCCGGGAGCTGCGAGGAACCGCCCCGTGTCTTGGCAGCAGCGCACTCAGTGTGACGGTTCCTGACAGATCCAATTATAAAGCCAAGTCTCATCAGAATCGCAGCCCTGAGATTTAATGCATGAAATTTTGTGTGGGAATTTTCTGATATTGCAGCCTGTGGGGCAGGTCCCTGTGGGCTGGGCTGTGCTGGCACCCTGAGCATCCCTGGGCCTCACCCTGCCGTGCTGCATCCCCTCCCTTCCCCACGTCCCACTGACACGCAGCCCAAATGCAGTCACCCGAAAAATGGCAAGAAAGGGTCCCCCCCGAAGTGCTGAGGAAGTGGGTCACCCACAGCCTCCTGCCCTCCTGCCCAGCAGTGACTTGTCTTGGCCTTGGCCCCAGCTGCCGCGTGCTGGGATCATCCCTGCCCCTGGGCAACGCAGGGCAGCGGGGCTGGGATCAGGCACGGGCTACAGCTGTAAATCACTCGGGCTTCTAGTAGCTGAGGAGCTGCCCAGACTTTCACTGCACAGCCCTAGGACAATATTTTTAGCCGGGCTTCCTAGAAAAGCCCAGGACCTGCCCAGGACCCTCTGGCCAGTTTCAGCCACTTGACTGGTCTCAAAGTAAAGAGGTTCTCATGAGTTCCCATAGATGCAGTGAACAAAGAGAAGTGGGAGAGGAGAGAGAGAGGCAGGACAGCCTTCCCTCATGTCATCACTTCTCCTCGGCTCTGGAATCTTTGCGCTGCTGGGGGAGAGAGATTTGCTTTTGCACCAGCCAGGCTGTTCCACCCTCTGCCCAGCCCAGCTGAGCCCAGGCTGGCAGCAGGGAGGAAGGTGCTGAGGTGCTCGGCTCCTACCTGTGGGCTGGGAGCACTCTGTGTGCAGGCTGCAGGGGTTCAAAGAGTGCTCCCAGCAGGGACACCTCCCTGAGCCCCCTGGGGACTCGGCAGCCCCTGGTCTGGGTGTCCCTCTCACGATGCCAGTAGGGATGTGGGGCAGTAGAAGTGCTGGCCCTGCAGTGCCCTGGGCACATGTCACCCTGTGCCACTGGCATGGCTGGCATTGCCCAGCCACATGCCAGGGAGTGTTTTTAGCCTGAGCAGAATAAAACCACAGTGATTATGTTTCCTGCCTCCCCACTCGTGGCGGGAGGGAAATTGTTTGATGCTAATCCCTTTGTTTAATCCACCCGCAACCTGACATGCGAACAGTCGGGATTAGCTCGGGCAAGGACCCGCGGGATGCGCAGCCGCCGGTCGCGGGGACAGGGGAGCAGAGCAAGACAGGGATGTCCCTGCCCTTTTCTCCCAGCAGCAGAGGAGCAGGATCATGGGAGCAGCGTGGAGAAAGGGCTTTTGGATTTCAGGATCGAGTTCCTCCACTCGAGCAGTTTTCACCAGGCTGGAATTTCCCCTGGTACAGAAAGGGAGGCTCCAGCTGTCCCTGGAAAGGTCACCTCGGGGGCTGATATCCCCCGGGCTCCGGCAGAGATACTGTGTGACAGCAAGATCTTCAGATGTGCCTGGGAAGGACAGCTCAGTCTCCTGTCCCACTCGCCCACGGATGTCACCAGATTCATCCTGCTGCTTTAAGAGAGGTGTCCGGGACCCTTCTCCAGCCACTCCGTGCCCTCCTTCCTGCAGACTTGTGCCTGATCTTGAGTTTCTATTTGTGTGACTTTATCTTCAAGCCCCCAGTTCTTATTATTCCTCTCTCAGCTAAGTTAAAGAGCCCTTTAATACCTGGCAGCTTTCTCCGTGGGCAGGTACCTGACTCTGTAATCAAGTCACATCTTGGGCTACTTTTTGATAGGCTAAACAGACTGAGCTCCAAGTCTCTGCTGAACACCCAGCCTCGGGAAAGGGCCAATCTGAGGCGCTGCCGAGCAGAGCGGAGCTGGGCTTTCTCAGCTGGTGCATTGAAAGGTGAATTGTCACTTTCTGATACACTAAGGATAAATGAAATGGGGCAGTGTAAAAATAAATTGTTGCATTGCCCTTGCTCTGGAGAGGCCTGTGAGCACACGGGGCTGCTGGAGGTACAGGGGGGAGAAGGGGAGAAGGATGCAGGTGCTCCTAGGGCTGTGTCCATCCCTGTGCCAAGCCCTGGCCTGGCAGCCTGTAGGAAGCTCACCTGCAGAAGAGTAGGTGGGAAACACTTTCACGGCACTTTTGCCAGCAAAATCTGCTGCAGCAGCTGTTTGTCTGTCTCTCTTTACAGGCAGGGAGTTATGATGGCCAGGAACATAATGCTTTGGGGAGCTGAAATAAGCAAAGATGCTTTGAGCACAGACTTAAATCCAGAGGTTATTGACGGGCGGTGAGTGCTCAAGAGCTGGTCCTCACTAATGCCCCAGTATTGACAGTGCAATGATGGCATAAAATGGGGCTTCAGGTTGGTTTAATCACAGGACAAGCCAGCCCAGCACCGCCCAAAGGGAGGAGGGAGCAGGGTGGCACAGGGCAGGATGCAGCCCCCTCGGGGGACCCCAGTCCTGAGCTGTGCAAAGGGGGGAATGGAGCAGAGACCCCCCCCCAGCCTGGAGCTGACCCTCAGGGGGAGGGAATAAATTCTAATTAAAAAATTGAAACCTATAAAATCTTAAATAATTCATTATATGGTAATGACCACAACATTAATATGTGCTTCGATAAAACCCCCCCCTGACCCTCAGGGGGAGAACGAGCGGTGCAAAGAGGCGGTGCCGGGGGAGCCTGCGGAGCACATTGCAGACCCGCTGCTTGCAGGAGTGACCTGAATGGCTGATCAGAGGGGAGCAGCCACTGCCTCAGCTCGGGCTGCAGGACGCAGCAGCTGCCCGCGGCGGCCAGGGCAGGTTAACGGGGTCGCAGGGATGCCCGTCCCTGCACCCCCACATGGGCTGGCCCAGCTGCAGGTAGCCTGGGGGCTCAGCCACACCAGGCTGGCTCTGAGGGACACTGGCTCTGAAGGACATTGGCCAAGGTTGCAGCACCAATCACTGCAGCTTGGCTGCTCCCAGCTGCCAGGCTCAAGGTGATCAGGACCCCAGGAAAGAGAAGCCAGACACGGCTGGGGTTCAAGCAGAGCTGGCAGGGAGAAACAAGCAGAGGCTGGACTTACATCCCACAGAGTGATGCTGTCCTGGTCATGTACCACATGGGGTCAGGTATACCCCAAAAAACACAGGCAAATTTGGATAAATTTTGCAGAAATTCTGCTTTTGGGCACCACACTGGACAACTGGGCCCATCAAGGCTGGTGAGGGATCACACCACCCAGTGTTGCAGGCACCCATCAGGTTAACTCACAGCCTGGATTCACAAAGCACAAATCAGGGCAACCTGAGCATAGCCAAACGACCTGGGGTCCCTGCAGGAGGGATTCTGCTTGGGGAGAGGTAAGAGAGGCAGGACAGGCCAGCCCAGCCCACAGAGAGCTACAAATAACTCGAACGGCCTCATTACCCAGTTTCCGATGAACAGGAGTTTTCTTTCATGCTTCCCCCGAGGCAACCTCCGCCTAAAATTGGGCTATGCCTCATGGCAGCCCCTGCCCCCCAAGCCAGGCGGGGGCCGGACGGTC